GGGGGACGCCTGGGGCAAAGCAGCTGGGGTGCTGCTGGGTTGGTCCTGTAGCGCTGCACCTCGGCGCGTCTCGGCGGTCTGCTGGGGAGGGGGCGCAGCTAGTTCGGGGTTCCCTCACCCTGTTCTTAAGTAGGGATCCGACGTAAGTCGGATTCACGTAACCCGGGAACTGCCTGTAATACAAGTTGCTTTGGAAAGTTTGTATAAAATTGGTTCCTTTTTTAGATAAGTGGGTGAAAAGAGCATCATTCTGTTTTCATTTAAGTAAAAAATTAAGTGATTTTTATATACAAGTAACTTGAATGGCTGAACTTTACAATCTCTCAGAATTTTGCCTTTATGCTTAAGAGTTGTTTGGTAAGCATTATAAAAATGGATTTAAAAATAACATAGTAGTAAACAACCGTAAACTAGTTTTCATGAGAGCACAATAAAACAGTTTTATTAGGCTTTTCATAATTATCTGCAATACTATGATGTTGTACAGATTTGGGTTATGCAATAGTTTTATCATGTTGCACCTGCAGATTTTTGTGTAACTATCATTTGGTGCTGCTTAAGACCTGTGAAGTAGTGCCAAGATACTTGTGCATTTTTACCATGCTGTAACCTAAGTCTTTTTTTATTCCTCTTTTATACATAAAAAAGAGAAACAAAATGCAAAAAAACTACAGTAGTGTTAAGTAAGTTGGTATTTTGAATACAAATAAGGAAAATGTAAGAGAAACGGTTCTAATAGCCACATCACACAAAGCACTTTTTCATTGCTTTTGGACAGTAGCTGCCAACAATCCCAGTGTATTCGGGACTTCCCTGAGATTTGGACACACCTCCCACATGGTTTTAATTTTGAACAAAGTTGTGGGGACTATGGGCCTCGTCCATGGTCTACTGAAGTCTTGGAAACATCCCCTTTGATTCAGTTGACTTGTATCAGTTGTCTTGAGTAGCAGCTGGTGGGTTTTACTGTTACTGTAGTACTGCCATAGTTTTGAGTTTGAGACGCACACAGGAGACTTCTGTGCTCTTTGCTATCTCATGTGCCCAGTGGTGTTGGTTGAAAACAGCTTTTTTTTCCTCTTGAACGAAGAGTTTAGAGTGTGTATATATATTTTGTCAGGTGAGTTTGAGGATCCCGTATTCCAGACAGAGGCAGAAAAGTTGGGTGCAGGCTCTATGATGAGTATTGTGATATGAATATGTATACTATAGTAATTCATAAATGCAACATGGGAACATTTGTATCTCTCCTCTTTATGCCACCACTGTGCATTAGACATATGTCTTTCCAGGTCTGTCAGCTACCTTTATTTGTATTGATCACAAAGTGGTGTTGTGGTCACTGGCAGGGATGAGTGACTTCTTTTCTGGGAAAGAGAGCACAGAGACTGGTGCCTGTCTACCTTAAGGGACCTCTTGTGGTGCAGGTTTCTATCACATGACCCTTCTTGCTTAACGTATTTATGAGGCCATTGTGGGATATATTGAGGCAACATGAAGTCTTAGATCTCCAAAGTGCAGATGGTTTGTCAGTTTTTTATGTTTCTACTTCATTTGAGTCCAGCTGATGCAGATAATTGATGTGCCTAATGTTTTGATGCAGCTACTTGAGTTTGGATGGGTACAAGCTGGCTGAAACAAAGTCTCAGCAAGACTAAGGGGACTAGCCAGAACCATTGCGATAGCAAATAGCTCACTCAAAAATTTGCCTTTTGTCATTCAGGTTGTCTTCCTGGGGTGTTATTGCATCCACAAATGCTTCAGGATGCTCAGTTAGTATCAGTGGTTCTAAAAGTTATTTATTATGTGTTTAGTCAGGGAGAGGTCAGGTCCTCTTCTTTTATATGTGGAACTTACCTTGGTGATCTAGGCCTCTCTCACCTCCAGATGATATCTGTTGCATGAGTACTGTATATGCTTCAAGTGACCCAGAAACATTAACAAACTGGCTGTCACATTTTGCACCAGCTAAAGGGTGTTTTCTTCAAATATGCCTTTTAAACCTGCCAGTGAATTGTACTGGTATCCATTTGTTTTGGGGCATAATTTAAGGTGTTGATTTTTATTCTTAGCCTTAGATCACCCCATTCCTTGCATGTAATTGCAGCAGTTGAAATCAGAAGTGCTTAAGTCACAATCCATTAGTTTAATTAAGAAGATGCTGAAAGAGAGGCAAAGCACTTTCAGGGTGTGTCTAGACTACAGGGTTTTGTCGACAAAAGTGGACTTTTGTCGACAAAACTATACCTGCGTCCACACTGCCTTTGAGTTATGTCGACATAACGTCGACAAAACTCAGCAGTTTTGTCGACGTATGTAAACCTCATTCTACGAGGAATAATGCCTTTTATCAACAGAGTTCTGTCGATAGAAGGCATTATTGCATCTACACTGTCCTTTGCATCCACACTGTTATGTTGACAAAGCAGCTTGCTTTGTTGACAGAACTGGATGTAGTCTAGACGCTCTTTGTCGACAGAAGCTTTGTCGACAGTATTTGTCAACAAAACCCTGTAGTCTAGACATACCCTCACTGTGGTCCTTCTTGACTTTCAAAGCTCATTTGTTCTACCAAGCTCTCTTTGGTGGGGAAGGTTAAACATGTAATATTTGTATAAGCACTCATAGCATGGGAATTTGTTCAAGAACTTAAATAAACAAACTTTGCAGAAGTATTACATGACAGCAGGATAAAACTTTGGCTGGTTTAAGATATGGTCTCATTCTTTGTTTGCATATTCCCAGCAGAAAGAACTCACATCAAAGAAAAGGGATGAGTTTGAAGATATCTTGGAAGAAAGACGGCAATCCAGTGACTTGCGATATGCAATGAAATGTTATACTCCTGTCATTTACAAAGGACTTTCAGCTTGCAAGCCAAGTGCCATTAAAAACAGTGTTCTTCAGTCTGAACAAGTTCAGTATGTTATCAAACAGGTGAGACTGAAAATGGAGACTATAATATATAATTGAAATCCAGATAGACATTGTGTGGGAGGAGGAGAAATCTTGTTTTGATCTCTGTCAAATGGGTTATTTGTGTGTTGTTGGAAAGAACAGTAAATCAAGAATTTGGAACAGCACAATTTGCTAGCAGGCAAAATAAACACACTGATTTGCCACAAAGGAGCGTGGTAGATCTCCAAGCAGTGTTTTAATTTTTGTAGGCATGCCAACATGTTTCACTGTTTATCCACCATACTTGACTTTTTCATGGGTCTGGGGAAAAAGTAACATTATGAAATACATAATACATACAAAAAACTTTAAAAAAGGTGAATAGTCTTGCTGCACCTTAGAGACTAACAAAAAATGTAGATGGTATTATGAGGTTTTGTGGGCACAACCCACTTCTTCAGATGAAACTACTTCAGATGATGCATACATTTTAATGTAATTTCCTAGCTTTCTTTAAAAGAAAACAGTAAAAACAAATTGGAAATAATTAGTAAAAACATCTATACCAACCCCTTCCCAACGTGCCTATTCAGGTCAGATTCTGAAGCCTGAACTTGCAGCATTCCATCACAGGCTGCTAATGCTTGAGCTACAGCACTCCAACGCTGCATTAGCTGGCAGCGAGAGAAGGCAGTTATCCCAGAAGCTTGACTGCCTTCCTCCCAAGAAATTAAAGGAATTCCTGCCATGTCTGTTGCTCCTGGGTGGGGTAGGACACTTAGATAATATATTAGATCCACAGAGGGGAAGCTGACAGTGTAGGGCAGTGGTTCCCAACCTTTTTAATCATGAATTTAAGCACAATCCAGGATCTACCTCAAACCCAAATACCCTTACCTCACCTCCTTCCCATCCCTTCTCTGAAGCCCTGCCCCTGCTCACTCTGTCCTCCCTCCCCCATCCTCACTCGCTTTTATCAGGCTGGGGGCAGGGGTTTGGGGTGCAGGAGGGTTTCAGGACTGGAGCCAGGGTTTGGAATGCGAGCTCCAGCTGGACACTGCTTACCACAGGGGGCTAAGACAAACTCACCCCTACCCTGACCCACTCCCAAAGCAGCCAGCAAACTCTCTCCATCCCTGCCCCTCTCTGCTCTGTGGAGATGGGGTAGAGGGAGGGACACCCTGACATCAGCACTCCCCCTTCTTCCTGTGCCCTGTACGGCAAGCAGGAGGCTCCCAGGGGTGAGAGGCACCTCCAAGGCAGAGGGAAGGAGCAGCACGGCAGTGCTGAGAGGGGAAGATGAAGTGCCAGCACTTGATAGCCTCCTGGCCAAACCTCTCAGGATCACCTGTCACAGGTTCCAAGATCTACCAGTAGATCCCGATCTATTGGTTGGTGACCACTGGTGTAGGGGGACAAATGGCAAAGTAGGGAAAATTACCGTTTTTAACACTTTATAACTGGTAGGAATAAATGGTCATTTTTCACAATGGAAAGAGGTAAATAGTAGGGTCTCCCAATGATCTATATTGGGACCTCTGCTGTGCAACAGCTTCATAAAATAATCTGGAAAAGGGACTGGCAGTGAGATGACAAAATTTGCAGATGATGTAAAATTACACCAGGTAAATAAGTTCAAAGTTGAATGTGAAGAGTTATAAAGGAATCTCACTAAACAGGACAAAAAGTGGCAGATGAAATTAGTGAATTATAATGCACATTGAGAAAATAATCCCAAGTGTATATTCAAAATGATGAAGACTAAATTAGCTGTTATTTCTCAAGAAAGATCATGCTATCTTCTTGGATAGTTCTCTGAAAACATCTGCTCAATGTGTTGTAGCAGTCAAAAAAAGCTAACTGTGTTAGAAACCATTAGGAAAGGGATGAATAATAAAACAGAAAAATCTCTTATGCCACCGTTTAAATCCATTGTATGCCCACACGTTGAATACTGCATGCATATATTAGAAATGGAAAAAGTACAGAGAGGGGCAACAAAAATGGTTAGGGGTATGAAATAGCATCTAGATGAGGAGAGGTTAAAAAGACTGGGACAATACTATTTTACACGATGTGCAATAACTGGACTCAAAAGAGAATTAGCTATATTCACGGAGGCTAGGTCCATCAATGACTTTTGGCCAAGATGGTCAATGACAGGACCTTATGCTCCATGTGTCCATAAACTTCCAACTGCGAGGAGTTGAGGTTGGATGATAGGGGATGAATCACTTGAAATTGTTCCATTTGATTCATTCATTTGAAGCAGCTGGCACTGGCCAGATGACCGCATACTGGGCTAACAGGACAATTGGTCCGGCCCAATATGGCCATTCTTAATTAACCCTGCATGGAATTCCATGAGACAAAGAAAATGCCCTTCTCTAGCCCAATGGTTTCTCCCATCTTCCTTTAAAAGCCTGCTGCAAACATGGATCTGCTAGTTTCTTTTTAAAATATTCTTGATAACTTTTTTAAATAATGGAAAGTGTTAAGCTGCTGAAACATAAGAGTTACTTACCAGCCCTGCTCCTCCTCCCCCCAAAGTAGACAACTCTCCTTGAACTAGTGAATGAAAAATAGCAATATGGAGGTGGTGGCTTGGGCTAGAGACCCAAACTCAGACCCAGGGGAGTTGGTGGGCTTGGACTTGGGCAGCTATCCCAAGCTGTTACCCCTCTGCATCATCCCCATTGCTGCTATAGCATGCTAGCTTGACCAGAGCTGGCATGAGTCTGTCTGAGCTTGGAGGCACACTCCCAGCTACAATGCAGACTTATCCTTTGAGGTTTTTGGTCTTGCTAATTACGGTCCACTCTCAAACATTTCTTCAGCCTATTGCAAGATGCTTTACTTGGGGCTGTCTTGGGAATATACCTACTAGAACACAACCGTCTCTTGTCTGAGTGGGGAAAACTTAAATCACTTGAGTGAACCATCCTCCATCTTTGGAATTTTCTCCTTTGGTAATTTGCTGGAGCTGGTCTAGCAAGCTTCATGGGATGAGCTGAGCTGTATTTGTTTGATTTGGGTTTTGTATGATTTTTGTTTATATTGGTTTTTTCCCCTTGTTTTATGGCATAAGTAACTAGCTGCTATAGGAGATGTGCACTCTATAAACTAATAATTATTTATTGATGAAGGATAAGTAGTGTGTCCGTAAGCATTTTATGGGTGAATGAGAGCAAAGTGTCTGTTCTGAATAAATAATAAGTCTACTGTCTGATAAATATTGATTTTTTTTTTTAAGTTTGATGGGGTTAGAGAAGGCTGTCACTAAATCCTTAGTTGCTAAAATAATCAGTCTTTGCTAGACTATTCAGGATGAAATAAATTATGTACAGAAGGAAGTTTTGAATGGATCAATATGACAGTGAAATGGCCATTTGGCTGAGATAGAGGAGGGTGAGAGGAGAAATTTTGTGACTGTCATAGAAGTGAAAATATAACTAATAAGGTAAATAGTGTACATCTCTCTAAGCTGAGACATGGTTTATTCACTGATATCCATTTAATCCTCCATGGTTTTATAATATGCATGTTCCTTATTTAGTTCTAATTTAATCATAAAGAGTATCTTTTAGGTTAAATGTTAGTGTCCATATATTTAATAAGGAGATTCCCACTCTCTAATTCCTGATTGATAGTTAGGGATGTTAATGGTTAACTGATGGCCTAGCTGGGCTGGAGTAGGCCCTTGCCCAATGTGGGCAGGGTGCTTGCTCCAGCCAGGCTGGGCCTGCTGCACTGCGTTGTGGGTGGGGATGCTCCAGCTCAGCCAGAGCTGCCCCCGTGTTGGGGGATCACTTCAGCCCGGCCAACCCCCCAGCGGCTCCCGTTTACGTGGTTAATGGGTTAAACATAATATTTAACTGGTTAACTGATTAAATGGGTTTTTTTACATCCCTATTAACAGTCTCCCAAACAAAAGGTTTGCAGTAATTAAAACTGAACATCAACATGCAGCATTTGTAGTGATGGTACTTGGTATGCATTTCAGCTAGCAGTTGCCAAAGGGATACATTACAAAGAAAGGCATGAGTAATAGAGTTGATATCCTGTGGGTAATTCTAAAAACTTACCCCAAAAGCATTTTAAAATTTTTCTATAAAGATGCCTAATAAGAATAATCTTTTTAAAGTTAACTTTAAAATCAGTGAAAGAGGACCAAAGCATGCGTTTGTCAGAAAGGCAGTTTAAGAAATCCTATTTTAAAATGTAAACTTCCTAAAAAAGATACAAACCTATTAGAACATATGTATGCCAACACATGCTAATGGCTTATTACACTGCTCTACAGCCAAAATGCTTCTGAAATAAATGTAGTCAAACTTTACTAATTCTGGGTCACTGAGAATGAAAATGATGCTTAAAATTGTTGATTGGCTCTAGTTTTCAAGATATGCTATTGTGAATGGTGGAGGATAAGTGAGTTATAAAGGGAAAGGATCTCAATTTAAACCAGAAATGACTAAAATACATCTTTGACTGTATGACTGGGTTTGGACAGTACTTGCTTTTTAGGCAAAACAATGAATGATGCAATCTGAAGCTGGTATTGCGTCATACATGATATGAATTGCATCATGCTATTCCTAGAAGTCATGGATGATGCATTCATAACGAAGCTTACATCACTCTGCTGAACAAATTGCCCTATATCAGCTCTAGAAATCATACAGTGTC